CTTTAAACATAAAGCATAACTTACACTAAACATGAAACTAAGTACAAGTGAGTACTGTACTGTATGCATTGATAACAGCAAAAATGAATGCTAATGGATATATAAAGTCAAACACATCTCTCATAATTAAAAAAAATCGGTTATGGATGGAAAACATTAGTTATGAAGAAAGGCTTTTTTTAAAAATGGCGTCTCAGAGGGGATTTTATAGCACTATACAAATATATACAAAGTTAGTACAAATCACAATGTGCTAACCTGTTTAATAGGAATATACAACAGACAAGACGACACCCATAAAGACTGGAAGAAAGGAGTTTTTGCATACAGCAGAGGAAAGATTTCTTTACAAAGAACAAAAAAATAAATTGGAATTCTCTACTTAAAGAGATTCAGTAGATTTTTTTTAAAGGCTTGGATGCTTTTTTTTTTGCAAAAACAGAATACTCAAGGATATAATTGGCTCACTCAAATTATGGAATCAAGAAGGAATTTTTATTGTTTTTCTGGCATAATTGGTAAAGGCTAAAAAAAATTTTTAAATTTCTTTTGGATCAAAAGCATAAAAGAATGGGTTTCAATGTTGAACTTGCTGGACTTTAGTCTTTTCTCAACCTACATTACAATATAACTATGTACTATGTACAATATAACTATGTACTCTGATCAGCCCCCTCGTGCTGCCAAAACAGCTCTGACGAGTCACAACATGAACTTTTCCTGTAGTATTTTGCACCAAAGCATTAGCAGCAGGTCCTTTAAATCCTGCAAGTTGCAAGGTAGGGCTTCCATGGATCGGATTTATTGTTCCCACATCCCACAGATGCTCAATCAGATTGAGATTTGGGGAATTTTAGAGGCCAGGGCAACACCTTGAACTCTTTTTCATGTTCCTCAAACCATTCCTGAACAGTTTTTGCAGTGTGGCAGGGTGTATTATCCTGCTGAAAGAGGCTACGGAACACCATTGCCATGAAGGGAAGTGTGTGGTAGACATGTGCAATTCGTTTTGTGCCGAATATGAATTCGGACTAATTTCGGGAAATTCGGACATTCGGGTACTTCCGAATGTCCGAATAGCCGAAATGCCAAATTACCGAGGTCCCGAAGTTCCGAAATTACCAAATTTCCGAAGTGTCGAAGTGCCGAAGTTCCGAAGTGCCGAATTGCAGAATTGCCAAAGTTCCGAAGCACAGTATTGCCTAAGTACTAATATACTTACCCAGTGGAAGAAGAAGAATGTTACACTGTATACAATTGTAAATAAAAAGTATACAAACGTAGCCAGGATTCACCTACAACATTTTGCCATGATACAACATTAGCCAGGATTTGCAACACTTACAACAATCAAGTAACATACATTCATATAAAATGTAAGTTACTTAGCCAGTCAATGTAATGATAGGAATGAATAAGTTGATAGCTATCTACTAAAAAGCTGAAAGACCTTAATTGGTCTTTCAGACAAATTTACTAATACTAAGTAAAAATTACTTAGTATTAGTAAATTATGCCCCTACTCGATATACCGCGAGTAGGGGCATGTCTATTAAACAGTGAGCAGCCTGTGGTTATAAAAAACAAACAAACAAACAAAAAAAACACGTCCCCCCCAGGCCCCCACCCCTGAGCGATGGGTGGGGGCCCTTAATAATAATTAGAGGGGGGACCTAATGTCCTCCTCACTGGCCCCCACCCCTGAGCGGTGGGTGGGGGCCCTAAATTAGAATGAGGGGGGACACCTAATGTTGTCCTCCCTGTCCCCCCACCCCTGAGCGGTGGGTGGGGGCCCTAAATACTAATGGGGGGGGACCTAATGTTCTCCCCCCTGGCCCCCACCCCTGAGTGGTGGGTGTGGGCCCTAAATTAGAATGAGGGGGAGGACCTAATGTCCTGAGTGGCGTGTGGGGGCCCTAAATAAAAAAATTACCCCCCCGGGTGACTAGGGGTCCCCAAACCCCTAGTCACCTCCTCCCCAAAAAAATGTGAGTTATGAGTCAAATTACACAGCGTGGGAAAATTCCAAATATTTTTCCCACGCTGTGTAAAATGACACAGAGCACTCTGATTGGTGGATTTCAAACCAACCAATCAGAGTGCTGTGACAGGTAAATGTAGAGACTTACTTGTCAGTCTCTTCATTTACCTGTCAGAGCACTCTGATTGGATGGCTTAAACCCACCAATCAGCATGTCTTTATCCGATGTATTGGGCTGGTTTGTATGTGAGATTTGTTTTCCGTCACAAAGTGAGTCCAGAAAATAGTGAGGCATGGTAGGCCCCAGTCCTGTGGCGATGGTTTTTAGTCACCGGGGTAAATAAGAATGGCATCAATCTGTAGCCCGAGGTGACAGGAGTAGATCGCATTTAACTTTTTGTATTGATGTTGCAGTAAAGTCAAGATATCAAGCGGATTAGGTTATAACTTGCAGGAGCTGCTCAGTATAGTGTCTGGTCATTCCCGCTGTCATGCTCTGCCCTGCTCCGTTTTTTTCACTTTAACATGGTGGAAGCCTAGCAAACGCTAACTATTTGCCCAGTAGCAGTTAGTGTTGCCAGCGGACAAATAGTACTTACAATTAGCATTTGTTTCCAAAAAGCAAGTGAACTATAATTTGGGCATGTGCGTCCTGTACCATGCATTCAGTCCAATTAATTTGAAAACTGGTGCTCTATGAATACTCAGAATCCTCTACTTGTATAGGGTTTGGATGCAGAACCCCTGAATTCCAACAGAATCTGACTTTAGTAAATATGAGAGTTGCCATCCCAGCCGGAATTCTGACAATTCTTGATATTTAAAAAAAATCTATAAATCACCAGGCAGGTCCATTTTTTGTTTCAGTTGCAAGAACAGGAAAATTGATAGATGGTGGATGCACATTACAACATAGGCCACACCAAGTGATCTAGATAATTTTAATGATTCACACCCAAAGCTTTTGTTTTTTACTTGAACGTGACACATTGTGACCTTTTACTGTTAAAAAACAAAGATGAGTATCAGCCAAGTCACTCATTAGGTAATAAATTATTTTACCACTATAGCAGCAGTAAGCTATTAAAATGTTTTGCAATCAGATACAAAACAGAGATAAGCAGGACATTTTATGATTATTAGAGTATTGCACAAAACTCACAATAGAGATGCACAGCCCATTGCGAGTGCTAAAAATAATCCACATGCATGTAAAGAATACGTGAGCAGATCATTGTGGGATGCTTAGATACTTGCACACACATACAAAATATTGATATGAAGAGCATTGCATAGAAAATTGTTCACAGACGCAAAAAATAGATGAGCAAAGCATTCTGGGAGGTAGTCACCATCACAGTTGGCCTCCATTATCCCAAGACTTGGGATTGTTTGGGACTATGTTTGCTGTTGGAAGGCATGGAACATCTTTTATGTCTGACAAGTCAGCTGCAGGGTGTGTTTATTTGTTAGATGTCTTGTGTTCCCTCTGTACCTACTAGGTGGATCAGTATGTATGTCTGTATGTCAGTATGCATGTATATCTGAATGTATTTATGTCTGTCTGTCAGTATGTAAGTATGTCAGTCTGTATGTATGTCTGTCAGTATGTATGTCTGTCAATATGTATGTATATATGTAGGTCTGTCAGTATGTCTGTATGTATGTGTATGTGTATGTATATATGTCAGTGTTTGTTTGTATGTATGTGTGTGTATGTATGTATGTCCTTATGTGTGTGTGTGTGTGTATATTAGTATGTGTCTGTGTGTCACTGTGTATGCCTATGTGTCTGTATATGTGTGTATGTCTCAGTATGTGTGTGTCAGTAGAAGGATGACATTAAGATACAAGAACTACACGAACTAAACTTTTACAGTGAGCATAAAATAAATACGATCCATATACAAAAATACAATGCAAACTCCATGCTCATTCCTGACCTGGAAGGTAAAACATGTATGTATCTTAGAATATATTAGAATTAGATGTATATAGAATATATCGGAGCGCTAAAGGACAAATAGATTTAAAAAAAAAATTTTTTAAAGGGCCAAAGGAGCTTGCAATTTGTCTTATAATATTTCTAAATTTGGTGTTTAGTAATTTTATAATACTTTAGCTACAACACTTTGATGGATACCCTTCACCACGTCTCAAATACATCTAAGAAAAGGAGGAAGAGGTTTAACACTTACCTTTCTCCAGCGCCGGGCTCCCTCGGCGCTGGGGACTCTCCTCCTCCTTTGGACGTCATCGGGTGAATGCGCATGCGTGGCAAGAGCCGCGCGCACATTCAGTCAGTCCATAGGAAAGCATTTCCCACTGCTTTCCTATGGACGCTGGCGTATTCTCACTGTGAAAATCACAGTGAGAATCGTGGAAGCGCCTCTAGCGGCTGTCAATGAAACAGCCACTAGAGGCTCGATTAACCCTAATGTAAACATAGCAGTTTCTCTGCTATGTTTACAGCAGGCAAGGTTAACCCTAGAGGGACCTGGCACCCAGACCACTTCATTGAGCTGAAGTGGTCTGGGTGCCTATAGTAGTCCTTTAACTGTGATGTTGTGATGTACATGAAGGATTTAAGAGGATTTGACAAAGTATCTAGCTCAAGTAAGTAAATTAACACAGTGAGAAGATCTGTGTATAATGACAGGGTGTGGATAGTTCCTATTGTGTGACTAAAATAAAATAAAATTCAATGTGTTTATAACCTTCTGGCAATGGATTTTCATCAAACAATCCACAAGCCCTTTATAGTTCATGATGGTTTATTTATTAACTAGAATATTCTGGTAGAAAATGGAATTGTACAGTCTATACCAAAGTAGCAAAGTTGCTGCTAATAATAATAATGAATACAGAATATTGCACAACACAGTTCTATTGAGTACAATAACAACTGAGGATATGAAACTGATAAGTGCATAATAAGTAAACATTTAATAACATACACGCAGCGGCATTGCTGGGTGGCAAAAAGACCAGGGGCTTCAACCCAAGGGTTAATGCTATTGCCCCTTCCACATATATTGCCTGAAGCCTATCCTAAACCAGTCCTATACAAAGCCCTAAGTCCAACCTTAAAGGACCACTATAGGCACCCAAGCCACTTATGCTCAATGAATTGGTCTGGGTGCCAGGTCCATCTAGGGTTAACCCTGCCTGCTGTAAGCATAGCAGTTTCAGAGAAACTGCTATGTTTGCATATGGGTTAATCCAGCCTCTAGTGGCTGTCTCATTGACAGCCGCTAGAGGCACTTCCGCGCTTCTCACTGTGATTTTCACAGTGAAAAGACGCCAGCGTCCATAGGAAAGCATTGAAAAATGCTTTCCTATGGACTGACTGAATGCGCGCGCGGCTCTTGCCGATTCAGCCGATGACGTCGGAAGGAGGAGGAGCGTAAGGTAAGAGTTTAACCCCTTCCTCCCACTTCAGCCTGGCAGGAGTGGGACCCTGAGGGTGGGGCGGACCTATTAACACTATAGTTCCAGGAAAACAAGTTTGTTTTCCTGGCACTATAGTGGTCCTTTAAGCTCTAACATGTTCTATAAATGAATTCAAGGATTTTGTGTCACAATGGGAATTATAGTATTTTATAAATCTATAATTATAAACTCTACAGCTGTTGTATTAAGACCACGCCATGCCATATTAACTAACCCTGCACCCCCTGCACCCATATATAACTAACTCCAAATACAGAGAGTTGAAGTGTCAGTGTCACACTGGACACATTGGAGGTGTTGTTTCTATTTCAGAATTACCTGAGACTCAGAGCTAACAATGAAATGATGACAAAAGTAGACCTGGGGCTTTCCAAAAGAGCCTTTCTGGGCTGTGTAATTTACTCAGGATACGATGCACTATAGTGGCACGGTCACAAATTGTATAAGTGTAAATGTTATTTCTCTCTTGTATTACATGGGGCTAACAATGAAATGAGGCCAAAATGAGAGCATATAAGGACCCCACTCAGGTCTCCAGCCACTGTTAGCCCCCCTGGCTATTGCTAAGTGGGACAATGTTTCCAAAGAAACTATTTTGCCTAAACTTTGCAATTTAGTGTTAAAATCACAGATATTCAGTGCTTTTAGAATAGACCATTCACTTTCAGACTTTTCCCCCTCAATCCTTTCCTCCTCTATAACCTCACTACATTTACATGGTTGGCAATACTAATTCACATTACAATAAAGAGTTGACACAATAATGGCATACAATTTCTTTAATTTGTAGGGCACAGATAGTGGTCCAATTTCCGGACAATTCATTTCAAACTACCTATATATGCAAGCTATACACAACATTAACTTAAATCTTTTAAGTACTTAATTTAGAAAATCAGTCTACCCCAGCGTTACCTCAGCGCTGTGTGGGACTGCTTGTAGGAGCGTTTATGTGCAAGAGCCATGCTGTCTTAACCCCCACCCTCCCTTTTTGTTCATTGTTTGTTGTGGTGTTTGTAATTTAAGGAAGAGGAATGTCATCCTCATGGCTAAAGTTTAGAGGATGGATATAAATGGTATTTTTTACATATAATGAAGGGAGAAGCGCTTGATGGAATTATCAGATATGACAAAGGATGAAATAAGACAAAGGAACAACAGTAGAACAACTATATAGTGTAGTAAGTTGAATACTGGTTGTAAATAAAGAAAGAGATGCACTTACAGTGTGTAGAGCTATCAGTAAGCTCTTCTTTTATGCGCCAGGGCGGTATAATCCCCGCCTGAGGATGTGAGGTGTATCTCTTGTGGGGTGGTCTGGAGACAATGAAATAATTACAAAATGGATGCTAATATAGTGTAGTTTCCTTAGTTTCAAGGATGGGGAAAATATAGTATTTAAATATACACTCACATTTTAGCCCTGAGTTCCATGTAATACATGAGATAAATGACATTTATAATTATATAATTTGTGACAGTGCCACTATAGTGCACCATATTTATCTAAAATCAGCTTGCAAAACTTCCAGGTCTCTTGTCTGCTGCCTTTGCAAACCCTCCCCTTCTAACCCGCCCAGACTTTCTGTGGTTGTCCAATCACAGACTTCCCAAAGCAGCTCAATGATAGGTTTCTGCAAGGCAGGTGCTCTCGGCAATTGCATGGCTCAAGTTTCGCTCCACTGAGCTAAGCAACCAGGAAGTAACAGGACCTGTTGTCTGAATAACAGTCAGGTGGGTGTAATTACATTTATTAAAATTTTTATTGAAACACGCATTTTTTGTAAAATTAAACACTCTTCACACATAAAGTGTTTCAGCGAGTTAAAGTGCTTTAGGGGTCTGATTGAACATTATGGGAATTGCTATCACCTCTTCTTAGCCCTCTTGGGTGTGTCTCCCTCTTAGCGCCCCTCAATATCTCTGTTCTATTCCCAGTGTGTCATACTTTCTCGCTATTGTGTCTCTACTCTCTAACCCGTTGTGGCTCTCCTTAGGCCCTCTTTTGTCTCTACTCAATCTCCATTTGGTTTATATCATCTCTTTACTGTTTATTTCTCTCCACCTCCCCCAGTTGGTCTCTCCTACCTTAGTTTGTCTCTCTCTGTCTCTAGTTTACCCCTCCCCAATTCTATCTATTCCATCTCTCCCTTTTTCCAGTCTGTATCATCCTTGCACCAGTCTGTCTCATCATCTCCCATATTCTCTTTTTCCCCTCCATTGTGTCTACCCCCATTCTGACTCGTTTTCTTCTCCTGTCTGCCTCTTCCTCTCCCCTAATCTCTCTGTCCTGCTCTCTCAGTCTGTCTGTATCCTTCACCTGTCTGTTAGTACACTGGAAAACTAACACATTAAATGGATATGTAGCTAATGTTTTATTACATGTTTAGATTAACAATAAAAATCTGTATTGGTCTGATGGTAGAAAATAACTTTTCCGAAGCAATAATAGTTAATAATAAGTTTATATAAAACACAATTTTAGAAAGGAAAAGCTGATAAAAATGCTCAAATCACCAAGTGTGAGTCACTCCAAATCACACAAAGAACCATACAATACAATAATAATATAGTGAGAGCAAACTCTATACACCAGATAAAATGGATATAAAAACAGGCAATATTACCATATGGCTGCAATGTCCTAAAAATAGAAAATAAGGAACATAGTATAGCCTGTATAGAATATACAAAAAATAATACAATGTAAAATTGTCCACTCACGTGGTACTGAGCCGTTCAGTGGCTCAGACTATAGGCGCCTTGTAAAAATATGGAGACTACAATGCTGGAAAGGCAAATCTCTGTAGGAATTCCCTTTTGTGACTAAATGGAAAGTCGAGTCAGGAAATACAGGAACAAATTTTATTCGCCAACAATCGCATATAAAATGGAATCTCTCAAATTATTGCACTAACGCGTTTCAACCTAAACGGTCTTTATCAAAGTGCTAACAGTGTTAAACAAATTAAACATTTAAATATAATTACAAAAAGGCGCGCTGTGATTTCTTCCGGTTCACTTCCGGATTTCGGCTATCCGACCTCCAACTTCCGGTCACGTTGTATTGCGTCTCTTCAAACACTTCCGGGTCAGCGGACGGTGTTTCTCTTGCGTTCCAGTACGTCTTCAATCTCAGTCGTAATTTCCGGCTTCCGGTCATGTGACCTATCACGGGATACTTTCGGGCAAAAATCATGACTCCCTTGCATTTTAATAAAGTTCCGGTCTCAAATAAAATCGAAATTTACTTCAAATGTCTCTAATTAATATGTCCATACATAAATCCATCGAGCATATTTTTTAAAATAAGAATAAATAAATCAACAAATATAAAAATGATCACTCTATCAATTATACACAATAAAAAAATTAAAAAATGTCTCTAAAAAGATAAAATAGAGCTCATTAACAATACAGGGATACATATATGGGGAGAGAAAAAAGGGGGAGAGAAGATAATAATGGATTAAGATACATAATATAATTATAATACATCTAAAAAATATATATATTATAAAAAGGGAGTAATTTCAAAATCCACATTCAAGCCATCAGGAGTCAGGGTGTTGAGGTTAAACATCCACCTCATTTCTGCTTTGCTTAGAATATTCTCTTTACAACCCCCTCTCCAATGGACTTTAATTTTTTCTATACCTATAAATTGAAGTCCCTCTGGGTTACCATTATGGTGGTCTAAAAAGTGCTTCGAGACGCTGTGATTAATAAATTAATTATATGTCTGTTTTAAGAAAAGGTTTTAAATTTGCTCCGAGTTGCGAAGCTAATAAATTTAATAGTTATTTAGATTTAAATAGATTTTTACGTAAATTATGCCTAAAAAATTTTTTTAAGGATTTTACAGTAAATAAAGAAATAATTAGCGATAATGATTTGTACAAACATACAGATTTAAAACAAAAATCCTCTTTTTACCCAGTAAATAAGAAATCCGAAGCTATGAAGGTTTTTGAAAAATTATGTTTGAAAGATCTAAAAAGACTAAAACCTTTAAATAAATATCAGGGGAATCTATCAAAAAAAGAAAAACTAGCCTTAAAAGATTTAAAAGAAGACGAGTCAGTGATAATAAAACCAGCTGATAAAGGAGGTGGGGTGGTGATCTGGCAAAAAGACAAGTATTTAAAAGAAATTCAGAATCAACTAAATGATAAAATTACTTATCTAAAATTAGATGCTAACCCACTGACAAAGATAAAGGAAGAATATGAAGCTTTTATTAAGGAAGGATTAGAAATGGGAATTTTAAATAATAAAGAATACAAGTTTTTAAAAATAGAATATCCAAAAATTCCAGTGATTTATGTGTTGCCTAAAATACACAAAGATATCTCTAACCCACCCGGGAGACCGATAGTGTCCGGTATAGGATCACTTTTATCTAATTTATCGCAGTATATTGATCAATTCTTGCAAGATCTAGTTAAGAAATGTCCAACCTACTTGAAAGACACAATAAGTTTATTAAATATTTTAAAAGATTTTAAATGGGAAAAAGGATACATTATGGCAACCTGTGACGTGAGTAGTTTATACACAAATATAGCTCATGAGAGGGGTTGTAAGGCCATTAGATATTTTTTGAAGAAATTGGGAGATTTTAATGAACCGCAGGTCGATTTTATCTTAAAAGGTATAGAGATCATATTAAAAAATAATTTTTTTTGGTATGAAGAACAGTTTTATTTACAGATTCAAGGAACCGCTATGGGGACCAAGTTCGCCCCTAGTTATGCTAATTTATTTATGTCTCACTGGGAAGAGACATTTGTTCTCCCCAGTGTAGATTTAGGGGCGAACTTGGTCCTTTATAAGCGGTATATAGACGATATTTTTATTATATGGAGAGGAGATAGAGATTCTTTGGTTAAGTTTTTAGAGTTCCTAAATTCCAATGATTGGAATATTAAACTCACCTCCAGTATAAGTAATCAAAATATTACCTTTTTAGACCTAGATATTTTTATAGAATCAGACCAAATAAAAAGTAAAACCCATTTTAAGAAAGTAGATGTAAATAGTTTTATTGACTTACAAAGTTGTCATTTTAAACCGTGGCTTAGCAATGTACCAAAAGGCCAGTTCCTCCGATTAAGGAGGAATTGTACGGATTTTAAAGATTATCAAGACCAATCATGTAACTTATCACAGCAATTTGTAGATAAAGGGTATGATCTAACTTTAATTAAAAATATTAGAGACGAAATAGGAGAAAGAGATAGGGATTTACTTCTGAAATATAAAGATAAAGAAAGAAAGAAGGAGGAACAGATCCCTTTGATCCTCAATTTTTGTACTAATAATAGATCTTTATGCAATGTTTTTAAAAAGAATTGGCATGTATTAAAGGAGGATAGAGAACTTTTACCTTATTTAGGAGATAGACCCCAATTTATTTTTAGAGGAGCACGAAACTTTAGACAAATTTTAACTAAAAGTTTTTTGGAGAAAAAAGTGAAGAAGGATATAAATAATTTTTTAGGTGGACAAATAGGTTTTTATTATTGTGGAGACTGTACTGGATGCAGATTAAATAAAATTACAAGGAGGAATATTAAGACCTTTTCTTCGAATAATAATCCAGTAGATGAATATAAAATACATTCATTAATCACGTGCAATACAACCAATGTTATATACCTTTTAACTTGTCCATGTGGTTATCATTATGTGGGTAAAACGATAAGAAAACTGAAAATCAGAATAGGAGAACATATTAATAATATAAAGAAAAAATTTATTAATCACAGCGTCTCGAAGCATTTTTTAGACCACCATAATGGTAACCCAGAGGGACTTCAATTTATAGGTATAGAAAAAATTAAAGTCCATTGGAGAGGGGGTTGTAAAGAGAATATCCTAAGCAAAGCAGAAATGAGGTGGATGTTTAACCTCAACACCCTGACTCCTGATGGCTTGAATGTGGATTTTGAAATTACTCCCTTTTTATAATATATATATTTTTTAGATGTATTATAATTATATTATGTATCTTAATTCATTATTATCTTCTCTCCCCCTTTTTTCTCTTCTTATATATGTATCCCTGCATTATTAATGAGCTCTATTTTATCTTTTTAGAGACATTTTTTAATTTTTTATTGTGTATAATTGATAGAGTGATCATTTTTATATTTGTTGATTTATTTATTCTTATTTTATAAAAAATATGCTCGATGGATTTATGTATGGACATATTAATTAGAGACATTTGAAGTAAATTCCGATTTTATTTGAGACTGGAACTTCATTAAAATGCAAGGGAGTCATGATTTTTGCCCGAAAGTATCCCGTGATAGGTCACATGACCGGAAGGCGGAAATTACGACTGAGATTGAAGACGTACTGGAACGCAAGAGAAACACTGTCCGCTGACCCGGAAGTGTTTGAAGAGACGCAATACAACGTGACCGGAAGTTGGAGGTCGGATAGCCGAAATCCGGAAGTGAACCGGAAGAAATCACAGCGCGCCTTTTTGTAATTATATTTAAATGTTTAATTTGTTTAACACTGTTAGCACTTTGATAAAGACCGTTTAGGTTGAAACGCGTTAGTGCAATAATTTGAGAGATTCCATTTTATATGCGATTGTTGGCGAATAAAATTTGTTCCTGTATTTCCTGACTCGACTTTCCATTTAGTCACAAAAGGGAATTCCTACAGAGATTTGCCTTTCCAGCATTGTGGTCTCCATATTTTTACAAGGCGCCTATAGTCTGAGCCACTGAACGGCTCAGTACCACATGAGTGGACAATTTTACATTGTATTATTTTTTGTATATTCTATACAGGCTATACTATGTTCCTTATTTTCTATTTTTAGGACATTGCAGCCATATGGTAATATTGCCTGTTTTTATATCCATTTTATCTGGTGTATAGAGTTTGCTCTCACTATATTATTATTGTATAGTTAATAATAAGTACCTATAATGAAAGATCTACAAGAAAGTCAAAAAGTCATTTTATTTTAATTTTAATATGGACGCAATCTCAATTGTTTGCAAGTTGATTTTTTTTGTCCTAAATTTTAAAATATCATTGTCAATTTTCCCATAATGTTATATTAAACTGAGTTCACCTCCTTTTTAAAAAAACATCATTATTCTACACTTGATTCTATAGTACTTAAAAAATATGTTACAAAAAAAAGTGTGCGCATGGAAGGGTTCTTTAAAGTTATTGCAGTTATCATTATATACAAACGTTCACATAATTACAAAAATGTGCATTCTGTTACAACTTTACAGTTTTTGGAGGCAATATGAAATCTGTCTTCAGAGTCGCATCTTTTTCAGATACTCAGGGGAAATTCCATTCAAATATTCTATTCAATATTCTATTCAAATGATACATGTCAGTTGTATCATTCGGTCATTTTTTTAAAAAAGTCATAAAATAATATTTTTATAAATGAATTCCATTTGCTCTGTCCTTTTTTTCTGTATGGTTCATTTCTAGATGGTTGAAAGCAGGGTTATCTGTCCCGTGATCAATATAGAGATCTGTCCCAATGTATTTATTACTCAAAACATCAATTTTCTCATCCTGCAAAACAAACAAAACATGGTTTATATGAATATTTTACCAATCTACACTTTGCTATTTTTAAAGCATCTGTCAAATCATGAACGCTCGACATTTAACTTTCATATTACATACAGATATATAGATACAAAGAATACAGATATGTCCATGAATGGATATAAGATTATACTAGAAGAGTATTCTGATTACTGGGGTGTCCATTGAGATTGATTTTGTTGTGAACAAACCTGTTAGCAAACCTCCCTTGTGAAAACTTCTCATTGAGCTGCATTAGAAAGTCTGTGATTGGACAGCCACAGAAAGCCTGAGCTGAGGGAAGGGGGGAGGACTTGCAAAGGCTGTAGACAATAGGTCTGCACAATTAGATGCATGCATGTTTTCATTTGGAGTATATCTAATAAATAGTGATTTATTTATTTTTTTATTGGGGCAGTGGGGTGTCCCTTTAACGTGATAGTCAAAATAAGCTGTTGGAAGTTAGGGGAAAATAATGTATATTAGAAAGAAAGAAACCTACTTCTTCATTTTTGAAGCATGGAAATATCGAATTCAGGTAAGCAAAGTCTTTAGATGTTAACAAATAATCACGATTTATATTTTGTTTTAATCCTCCTGAAAAATAAAAATAAATATTAATGAATGAATGATATATAGAGGATTCATAACAGTGAACCATACATCATGGAAAAATAATGCCATCGAGGGGTACTGCAGATATTATAATAAACCACGAGATCCACAGAAAATATTAAAATATCCAGCATGGAATTAAATTCCTAACACACCGTTGATCAAAACTACTACCATAGTTTTATAAATGTGTATTTATTAATATGTGTTATTAGAACCCAGAATGGTCTGTGTATAAATAACCACTTTTGAATCAATGCTTTCCAATGGGCTTTCACATCACATGACCTAGTTTATATTATGTAGGTGAAGCAGAAGTCCTCTAGTGGCTGCTATCATGCTGACGTCCACTAGAGGTGGACTTAACCAATGTAAGCATTGCAGTTTCTAAAAAAACTGCAGCGTTTTACATTTCAGGATTTAAAGGACTGGGACAATGCACCCAGAGCACTCCACTGAGATCAAGTGACCTTGGTGGCTATAGTGTTCCTTTAAGTACTATTCAAGAATGTGTGTGCTAAATAAAAAATATTCACATATACAGGGATTTCTTTTTCTGGCAGAAATAAAATATATTCTTGTAGTAGGATAGATACATATTATGGAGTAATAATAATAATTTAAAAAAAAAACTCATGCTCTCATGGAGCCAAGACATCATTACTATGATTTGTGCAATGTAAGAGGTGAGTCCATATTCGATTAATTCTGAAAATATTGAAAATCTTTGCTTACCTGTTAACAAGCTGACTATTATACCTACAATCACAGCAACAATAGTACCTATAGTACTAAAGTATAGATAGGACAAGGAGTACCAGTTGTCAGCAAGGGCAGGTCTGTGAGAAAAAGAAAAGTAAATTTTACAAGGTAAATTCAGAAACTTATCTATAAGTGTTAGTGAAAAATTGACGGTGATTCATGCATAAGAACAGTCAACGTAGGATGTTAAAGGGATGCTAAAATTATTTTACCATTTTATTTAATCACAGAACAAGTTGTCAAACGGTTTAGATTAGTGTAAATTCAGATGTGATAAAATTATATCTAGAATCTGAATTAATTGTGTAAAATTATCATTTGAGGTTTATTTAGCAACATACAGAAAACAATATTAAAACAATACAGAAAACGATATTCCAACTTTTCTGCTATAATCATTAAACTGCAATAGACTGGTGGGAGATTTTTTTTATAAATTACAATTGTTCTACATTTTTGTGTTTAGGGTTTCACGTCACTACAATTTGGTGTTTAACGAACAAATTTACACTCTCATTAGGAAACCTGTGCCAGGTTATCATTTCAAATGTCCATTTTTAGGCCAAAATCACCAGGTCAACTATTCTTCCAAATCAGCTATTGATGTCTAAAATTGTAACCCCTTAAGGACCAAACTTCTGGAATAAAAGGGAATAATGACATGTCACACATGTCATGTGTCCTTAAGGGGTTAAATGACCCCTGTAGTCACCCAGACCACTTCAGCTCAATTATGTAGTCTGGGTGCCAGGTCCCCTAGGTTTTAACCCTTCAGATTAAAATCTAGCAGTTTCAGAGAAACTGCTATGTTTACATTGCAGGGTTAATCCATCCTGACAGCCACTAGAGGCGCTTCCCCGACGCTCAATGCGGAAATTGCATTGAGCAGACAGAATTCCATGGGAAAGCATTGAGGAATGCTTTCCTCTGGGCGGTTTGAATGTGTGCGTGGCTCTTGCTCTCCACTCGGGAGCTGACGTCGGAGGGGGAGGAGAGGTCACCAGCGCTGAGGGAGTCCAGCGCTGGATAAAGGTAACTGGCTGAAGGGGTTCTAACCCCTTCAGCCCAGCAGGAGTGGGGCCCTAGGGGTGGACCAGACATATGGATTATATAGTGCCAGGAAAAGCAGTTTGTTTTCCTGACACTATAGTGGACCTTTAAATTTAATTTGAACTCATGACAATTTATATCTCAGTGAATAAAGCCGGGAACCTTTGTTCATATTAGCCATTTGCAATGAAGTAATATTTGTTACATACCTGCTGATTGGTTCATCTGCTAATAGTGTCGTTAGTGACGGCATTATTGTGGTGAAATTCGAGATGGTGAAATTACAACCGTCAATTGAAAAAGGTTTGGCTAAAGTTCTTATGGGAAGAGGGGGATAGATTTGAGAACCAATGCCGACCCACAAAGATATTGTAAATCCAGACAGAAGACCAACTATAGCACCCTGGAACAATTTTAAAAAAAAAGGATTAAAAAAAAAATAACATTTTTGTTAGTGTAGATAGTATTTGTTTATTCTACTATCAAAATATATTTCAATTTATAACAGTGTAGTAGACAGAGCTGTGTATACGTATATACTAAAAATCCTACATTTATATTTCTTTATTCTATTGTGTGCACATCATTCTCCTTATCCTATAACAAATGCCAGTTCTAAAAGGGACAGTCTCACTAGCATTTCTGGGATGCCTATATTAAAGGGACACAGTAAACACCCAGACCACTTCAGCTCATTGAAGTGGTTTGGATACTTTTTCCCAGTCCCACTTAGTCCTGCAATGCAAATAATTGCACTTTTAGAGAAACTGCAATGATTACCTTGCAGTAGTAAGACTGCCTGATTAAGACGAAGACTGCCTGATTTATAGCCACTCGAGACACTTCCTGCTTGCTAGGCGACTTGCATGAGGGCATCCTGCGTCAGTAAATTCCCCAAGTAAAAAAGTATGAAGCAATGCTTTCCTATGGGGAGGGCCTAATGCGCTCACGTTGCTTGCCGCACATGTGCGTTAGACCACACCCCTCCCCGTCTTGTGGAGCGCCGACCCAGCGTGAGGGTTTGTATTCCTTACACTATAGTAAAGAAGAAATACATAAATGTCCAATGGACACTAAAGGTTCCTTGTAAAATGTAGAGTAATATGACATTAGACGATTACATACAAGAAGATACATTTTATTAGATCTTTAGAAAGAAGACATATAACATATAAAGAGCCATAGACAAATAAAGGCTCCATGTGGTAACAAGGAAGGGGGAAGGGGAGACTCTATAGTGGATTGGATGGGATGTTGGTAAAGGATGATAGGGATGAAAGTAAATGAGCCTAAAGGTTTTTTTATATCAGCTACAGTTAACCTCTTGTGGCTATAATTAGAGGCAATGTAAGCCCTATGAAACCATGCCACTATTCTGGGTGAACTGTATTAAATACAATGTATCTAATGAAGCAGTGTAACACCATTAACTGCTACATAGAAAAAGGATTTTATGTATCAGGTGCAGTTAACCTCTTGTGGCTATAATTAGAGGCAGTATAAATCCCTATGGAACAATGCCACTTTTGTGGGTAGACTGTGTTGAATCCAATGTATCCAATGAAGTAGTGTAACACTATTGACTGCTACATAGGGAGATGACCTGAAATGATCTATATATTATTTACAGTAAATCACTTGTGGTTTATAAGAAAAGGGCAAAAAGAAAAACCACTATTATAAGTGAACTGTATAAATGTAGTGTTCTTCAGTGTAACATTATACCAGTGCACACCGCTGTACATAAATAACAGAGAATGGGTTATAAAGGGGGGCACCTTGAAAACATCATGCAACAGACTTCCATGAACTGGCTAAATAGAGATTCGACTTCCAGGTCGCTAACTAGAAACAATTAGAAAAATGGAAGGCTTGATGCTGCCAAAAACCCAGACTTAGTAGGCTGTAAAATTATCCATTCAAACCCCCATAGTCTATACAAAACATCCCCCATTGAAACTAGTTACCTGAATAACCATTGTGAAAACAAAGCGTGCTGTGCTAAAATAATAACAAAGAAAAGTGATTCCTTACCAGTGGCGTACACACAATCCATGGGGCCCCAGTGCAAAACTGATCCATGGCCCCCCCACCTCCACCCTCCCCTCCGCACCCCATCTCCCCCCACTGCCACCCTCTAGTTTTAGTACGTTTAGCTGAATATACAAGTGCTTCATATTTTTAAAACGCTCCATAACCATTATCAATTTAAAAAAAGAAAGCCACTGATTGCATCTCAGTGTCACAGCTCCCGGCACGCCAATTACCATCTGTGCCTGACTGGCACGACCGCGTCAACAAGCTGAGCTTACCTGCTCGGCGGCAAGGCGCGCCTTCTGGGCAGTGTGCCCAAAACAAAGATGACGCCGACGATGCGGTCGCGGCCGTCAGTGGCTCCGCCCCCCAGGGTTATAGGAACGTGCGTGTGACGTCACAGCGCCAATTCACACGCACGTCCTGGGGTTAGAGGTCACCCTCTGACCAATCACAGCCTAGAGAGGGATATTTAAATCCCTGATTCACCCCAGTACCTTGCCCTGTTGTGGTTTCCTGTCCTGGTTCTCGAGAGTGCGTTTATCTTTGCTGTTATTGTTATTCCCGGTATTTTGACCTTGGCTATTCCCGACTACGCTGATTTCTGGTTCCCCTGACTTGGCTTGTTTAAACGGTATTTGTGTATTTCTGGCTTCCTTGACCTTGGCTATCCTTTGACCATTCTCTGCCTCTAACGTATTAGTCCAGCCATTCTAAGGACCAGTTTACGTTCTATCCTTTTATTTACTTTTCATTTTCTATGTAGATTTTACATAGTTCTGCGTGTTGGACCACACTAGCAGTCGTGACATTCAGCAGCCAATCAAAACAAGAGATTCAGACAGATGATTTGTTTAAACCCCAGCATTCCACAGGGTGTAGAAGAAGATATAGCTGCTTGCCATGACTGATGATGCCTATGCCATTCATGTCGTAAGGAAGTCACAATCAACTTTAATTAGTTCAGACAATTTTAATAAAATATTTGCTAAACATTTTAAAAATGTTCTGCACCATATAGGTCATTGGAAAAAATATCGAATGACAGAACCACTTTACCATTTCTATTCCATATCGGAATCTTTGAATATAATGCTGGCATAAAGAGTCTGTCATTAAACACAAAAATTGCCAAATTAAAGCTGAACTGGAGTCTTTTTCCAAATCAGCTGCTAAGGTCTAATATTGTGCAACTGGATTTTCTATTTACTATATTTATGATTTTAGATCATCTGATATTCTTTCACCATTTTTTTTCCTTACCTTTTTCCTGATACATTTCCAGCGTTTGTTGTTTCTATTTACACAGCAGAAGTTAGAATTGCATTGGTCACACTATATGTAGCAAAAGTAACTGGCAAACAATGCATCAGATTGTTAGTCTTTCATAACTACATTCTGCTTGAAAAGTACTTACTGTTGAATTTGCAAATGGGAATAGAATACCAAGGGTGAAAAGCCCCAACAATGGTCCTCCAACCATACCAAAAATAGAGAGTGCTGCCTGTAAGGAGAACAAAGAGACAGCATGAATCTTTTCTAGGCTTAGTTAAAAGACACTTACTATATTCCTCAGATGAATAGGAAGTTAAGAGGGGTTTGAGTGAAACACAAAGCGCTGCAGAATCTGTGGGAGCTATATAAATCTCAATAATAATAATAAATACTAATAAAGTTAAGAGATACAAAGGGGGCAAGGGGGATTAAGAAACTAAAAATTATGTTTAAGAGACACGGGGGAGTTAAAGGGACACTATAGACACTCAGACCGCTCTCATCTTAATGTCTGAATGTCTGAGTGGCCAGTTCATTTCTCCCCCAACCTGTTTCACACTGGACATGGAAACATGGCAATATTTTCACAGCATGGTTTAAATGCCTCTTGTGACTGTCACTATGACAGCCACCAGGGGTGCTTCAGACAAAATAGCAGAATGGCATTTTGTCTCACATGCGCACTAGCACACTATAGAATCCTTTTAAACAATATATTCTCAACATTCCATCAGAAAACAGTACTTTCAACATGTGCTAGCTGTTCCAAACTGAAAATCCTGTGCATGATGCATAGTATCCTTACCTGCAATAACCCACCCATCAGGGAAGCCACGCCAGCCATGGCGATGCATACAGCTCCATACAGGACACCTGTGCAGGGTAAATCATGACATATCGTTACATTATCAAATCAGGAACAATGACAAGAGCAAAAACCTATTCTTAGCCTGTTCCACGTAGCCAAGTGCAGGTGCTTCATCTTAACTATGTGTTACATTTAACGCTTATGCTGGTTTGATATTGTTTGACATTATCTGCTGTAATAATTAAATTTACTGTGTCCGTTTACTGATGTGGGAGGCTTGGCATCTTGTGATGGACACAGCTGGACTTTTGTACAGTCATGTGTACAGCCCTTCAATTTACAACATTACACTATTTGCATTATTGTGCTCTTGAATCCTTTCAACTAAATTGAGCTTTGTTCATCATCAATTAACTCTTTCAGATAAGCAGTAACATATGTCATTACCTCCAATGTGTCAGCTTTGATATAAACAGCTGGATTCATAATTCTGGGAAGCCTACTATGGAATCAGAATTTTTCTATATAAAAAAAATGGAACATGGCAGGGCTGCCCACTGGCTCCCATGCTCTATATTTTGGCTATGGAATCTCTAGCGGCTCTAATGAGACAAAAAGAAACAGTACAGGGTATCCAGGCTGGCCAAACAGAACATAAGATCCTTTTATTTGCCGATGACGCCCTTCTGACTCTGACGAACCCCCTTTAGTCTAATCCCGCAATATTGAAACTGTTGATGGAATTTGGTGAATTTTCCAATTTTAAAATTAACATAATCAAAACACAGATAATAACTTTTAGGCTTCATAGCTTAGAGAAGAAACAGCGCAGGGATAGCTATGAGTTTAATTGGAATCGCAGATTCATAGACTAACTCGGGGCGAAGATCACAAAATCATTTGATATTCTGATCAGTACAAACTATCTAAAGCTACTAGAAGAATTTAGTACATATTTTAAGAAATGGAGCAGGGGCGAACTATCTTGGTTAGGTAGGATAGAATCAACAAAAGGTTACTTGCTTCTAAAGATAATGTACTTATTTAGGACGATCCCACTTAGAGTTAGTCACAAAATCTTGGGTTGTTTTCAGGTAGCTATATTTAAGTTTTTTTGGGCCAGTAAGAAACCCAGAATCTCTCAAAAAAATACTTCAAAAATAAAAAAAAATTTAGACCCTCCCCAAATGGACAAATCTACATTTAATTTAATGATCCATATTATGCTGGCAGCTAAAATATGCATAGTCAGAAATTGGAAAAAGCTAGTATATCAACATTGGCATGAAATAACATCTTAAATAACCTACCAAGGTTCTATGGAGAAAGGTTACTTTTTGATGAATAATTAATTGGACCTATACAAAGAAATCTGGGGGAAATGGCTGTTTTAAATAATCAAATGGCCCTTGTCAGATAAAAGGTTCACCACCCCTGGTTTAAAGGGACACTATAGGCATCCAGACCACTTCAACTAATTGAAGTGGTCTGGGAGCAATGTCCCTATATCCAGAGAAACTGCAATGTTTATATTGCAGCTCTAAGTCTGCCTTCAATGGCTGTTTATCAGACAGTCACTGGAGGCGCTTCCTGCATCCAAACGGACCTTTGTCACGCTCTGTATGAAGACATCCAGCATCAGATTTTTCCCTATAGAAAAGCATTGATTTAATGCTTTCCTATGGAAAGGTCTAATGCGCGTACTCCCTCATCAAAAATTTAGACCCTCCCCAAATGGACAAATCTACATTTAATTTAATGATCCATATTATGCTGGCAGCTAAAATATGCATAGTCAGAAATTGGAAAAAGCTAGTATATCAACATTGGCATGAAATAACATCTTAAATAACCTACCAAGGTTCTATGGAGAAAGGTTACTTTTTGATGAATAATTAATTGGACCTATACAAAGAAATCTGGGGGAAATGGCTGTTTTAAATAATCAAATGGCCCTTCCTATACTAATACCTTTTAGAAAGTATAAACAAAATCCTTATACTGTCAATCTCATGCCTAGTTGACCTTAAGAGTTATCCCTGATTTATCAATGACATACTCCGCGTCCGAATGATTGACGAATGTAGTATGAATGTGGATGGAATGATGATTGATTTTATTAGAAAATATTTCTGATATTTTCTTGACTGCTGTCAAATCATATTTATTTATAATAATGACAAGCTTTTATTTTTGTACTCTATATGTATCAGACTCTAATAAAGATGATATAAAACATTTTTTTTTTAATTCTGGGAAGCCGAGCAGACAGACTATGTTGACATAACAATTTGAGCCATATTATCTGGTACATGCAAACAGAGATTTTAACAATAAAGTATGATATTCCATCTTGGCATCTGCTTCTTAAGAATGTGATTGTGAAGATGCCATCTCTTTCCTTTTGAAAGAAATGTTGTGAGATAATATATTTTTTCAAGACGCCTTTTGATTCATACAAGGATCATGTTGTATTACTCGTTGTATTGTATTAATCACAATTACATGTTTCATGAAAACAAAAGTGCGCCAACTAGTGAGGATATGTAATACTACTGCCTTTAGTAATACAGTTTAGAGGGATACTATAAGTGCTAGGAATACAAAGCTCTGCCACGCCCTTCCCTCATGCACCAGCCTACCCTGTGAATAACGGGTTAAAAGCCCTTTACTTACTTACTTACCTTATCCCAGCCCCGATGTCCCTCAGCGCTGGGTCATGGCTCCTCCTCCTCTGATGGCGCTTGATGACGGAGTACGTGCATTAGACCTTTCCATAGGAAAGCATTAAATCAATGCTTTTCTATAGGGAAAAATCTGATGCTGGATGTCTTCATACAGAGCGTGACAAAGGTCCGTTTGGATGCAGGAAGCGCCTCCAGTGACTGTCTGATAAACAGCCACTGAAGGCAGACTTAGAGCTGCAATATAAACATTGCAGTTTCTCTGGAAATAGGGACATTGCTCCCAGACCACTTCAATTAGTTGAAGTGGTCTGGATGCCTATAGTGTCCCTTTAAACCAGGGGTGGTGAACCTTTTATCTGACAAGGGCCATTTGATTATTTAAAACATCATTCGCGGGCCATCTAAAAATTAGCCTGCTGTATTTGGTCAAACATTTAACTTACTCACTCCTAATGTGATGGCTGGAACTGCTTCTCATTGATGTGTGATGTTAGCTGGTATTGATGATGTTGCTACTTGCAGTGTGTGTGTGTGTGTGTGTGTGTGTGTGTGTGAGAGGAGTGCAGCGTGTGTGTGAGGGGCGCAGTGTGTGTGTGTGTGTATGAGGGGTGCAATATGTGTGTGAGGGGTGGAGTGTGTGTGTGAGGGGTTCTGTTTGTGTGAGGGTTGCTGTTTGTGTGTGGGTGCACAGTGTAGTGTGTGTGAGGGGAGTGTAGTGTGTGAGGGGTCCAGGGTGTGTGTGAGGAGGTGTAGTGTGTGTGAGGTGCAGTGTGTTTGTGTAAGGGGTTCTGTGTGTGTGTGTGTGAGTGGTGCTGTGTGTGTGAGTGGTGCTGTGTGTGTGCTGTGCTGTTTGTTTGTGGAGGGGTGCTGTGTGTGTGAGGGTTGTGTGCACTTTAGCCTGCAGCTCCTCCGGCTCTGTGCTGTGCCCCCCCACTCCACCAAGGGAGAAAAAATTGAGACTGCGAGAAAGGACCCTAAAATGGAGACTATCATGTTGAAATGTTTGGCTAGAGCTGCATAAACAGAAACAAGAGCGATTTATCTCCTAAATGGCAGAGAATTGAACAGTGAGACTGCAGGGACATGATCTATACACCAAAACTGCTTCATTAAAGGGAAACTCCAGTGCCAGGAAAACAATCCGTTTTCCTGGCACTGCAGGTTCCCTCTCCCTCCCACCCTCCAATCGCCGGTTGCTGAAGGGATGAAAACCCCTTCATTAACTTACATGAGGCAGCGACGATCTCCCTCATCGCTGCTTCCTCCTCCGCGCTGCTCCTCCTTCTGACTAATCCCGCCCACCGGCTGGGGAGACCTAATGCGCATGCGCGGCATTAGCGCTCCCCATAGGAAAGCATTTAAAATGCATTTCAATGCTTTCCTATGGGGAAATGAGCGACACTGGAGGTCCTCACACAGGTTTCCTGTGCTAGGAACCAGGAAGTGCCCTCTAGTGGCTGTCTAGTAGACAGCCACTAGAGGTGGAGTTAACCCTGCAAGGTAATTATTGCAGTTTATAAGAAACTGCAATAATTACACTTGCAGGGTTAAGAGTAGTGGGAGTTGGCACCCAGACCACTCCAATGAGCAGAAGTGGTCTGGGTGCCTGGAGTGTCCCTTTAATCTAAAGTTGTTTAGGTACTTAGAGTGTCTCTTTTAGAAAGGTATTAACAAAAAATGAAAGAATTGCTTTATACTTGAACACAAATTGTTGATTGTTGTGTATTTCACCATTAGTATAGTGACATTTCCTAGCATAATTTGGCTGAAGCACAAGAGTACACCAAATCCCTTACACACTATAAGGAAATATACTATAAATATAAGCACATTTAAAGGTGATTTCCTCAGCATGGAAAAAGCTCAGTTAGATTTCCTTGTTATCAAATGCAATTAATTGTTCCCCTGAGTTTTGTACCTGTGCAAATTGCTGTGTGCTGTTTTTTATGTCTGTCTTTTCACAATGGATTCATTGGCTGAGCGCTTGTTATTGTGAAATGTTTGCTAATGCTTGAACAAGTGATACCCAATTGTTACAAAAATATAAGAACAAATAGATAGCATTGCTCTCATGAAGTGATAAGCAAACATTGAAAATCTTACTTGTTCCTTTAGAAATCCAGGACAGCTTGGTTTCACTGAGCGATTTGAAGTAAGGTTTTATAAGGTCTTCTACAGTAACGGCAGCTAAAGCATTAATACTTGATGACACAGTGCTGTAAAGTAAGAAACACATACATTTTAAAATTGCAGTACATTGTTATGGCTGACCTACAAGCTTACATTTAATCTACGGAACTCTAGAGGGTTGTATCATATGTACAATATTATACCTATATCGTGGTAACAATTTGCTAAATTGTGAGCAGGATTTGAAAAAATATTTCAGTGGCTCCTCCGTCGCTCCGTACTGATCTTTTTTATTCTACTACATGTTTTAGAATACAAATGGAACTAGAATTATCTTTTCTTTCTATTGCAGTAAATACAATCTTGCCACAATATTCAAAGCACCAAAACAGTTTTTGATTTAATACGTAAGCAATACAACATCCATCATTAAAGGGATCCTCAAAGCACCATGACCACTTCACTGATTTGAAGTGGTCATGGTGATTGAAGTCTGCAAATGTAGCATTTCACTATGAAACTCTGCACAGATGCACAGATAGACATATAGCGCGTTGCCATCGGAGGTGTAACTTCACACCTGGCAGCGTTATTACCCAGCCTGAAAGAAGGGGTATTGGGGCTGCCATGAGAAATTGGGGATGGATTGCAGGTAAGGGGAGGAAAGGGGCAAAACAGTAAGGGCTACTCTGTCTAAAACAGTATTTTATTAAAACACAGTTTTTTGGTTGCAATAACCTTTTAATACATTGTAATGGTTAGTGACATACCTTAAGGTTCCACTGTATGCACAGGCGACAAACAGCCCTGGAAGTCCAGGATAGTCCCTTAGAATGTCCAACGCGAGATAGGGCATCAGCTAAAAGTAATTACATGTACATTTTACATGCATGTTATCAAAGTAATTGAGCATTTCAAAAGTACAATTCTACACATCATTAGAACGAAATTGTTTGTACCTGTCGTCAGTTAGAGTAGGAAATTTAGCAACCTTTTGCAGGAATTGTATGCAGTAGATATTCTGGCACCCACTCCTGTTGTGTCTTTTTGAACCCTCAGTCCTATTGTCTGTATCTCCTGGTCGCTCTTTTGTGTCTCTCCTAGACCCCTTACCTCCTTACATGTCTCAGTTAACCCCCCTTTACCAGTTCTGTGTCTTTTAATTCCCACTTACCAGCTGTGTGTCTCTTAACTCCACTCCCAATGGTCTATATACATGTGCCTATATATAAACATGTGCCAGAATGTATCTAGGAATCTAACATGTCTTGTTTTTACCTGATCTGGGGCTGACACAAAATTGGCAGTCCATGGGTCGCAATCCTTGTATATTGAGTACATAGCCAACCCACTCAATACTGCACAGGACAGAATTGCCCAGAGTCCAAGGAGATTAATATAAAGAGACCTGTGATGATAGAAACAGCAAAGTAAATTAAACAAGTAATCAATGTGCATTTCCTGGCTGATAACCTAGTAAAATGTTCACATATTGCAAGAAAACAGTGACAGGCTTCTCAATTTCTTTCTTTAGTTAGCTATCTCTAGATAGATGGATGGATGAATAGACGGACAGACAGATGGAAAAAAAAAGATATTCCTTATATTGCTTACACCCCCTTCATACAACTTAAGCTTGATTCAATAAAAAGAACTACTTCAATATCTGCTGGGGTATAGTGTTATGTGTTATGTTAAAATAAGGAGCTGTCAATCATGCAGAGAATGCTCTTATATATCAGAAAATAAAGATTTAGAATGGATAGAGAAACTCACATTTTTGCATGAAATAAGGATTTGCATGAAATGTATCTCTGGACTTGGGACTGATTGACACCATAGATTCCGGTCCACGTAAAGGTTCCTCCAATGAGTATAGTCCAAAAGGAATGTCTCTGCAGTGGATTGGGATTAAAACTACACAGGAAAAAAGAAGTGTATATTGATTGAAACTGACAAACATTGTAGTTCAGGATTGCTTATCTTACTAAACTTGTCTCTTTTCAATTAGTTTTATCATTACATCGTTCAGGTCTTTTTGCAATAAGGACACACACAGTGCTAAATGTAGCTATTCAAAACACAAGTTCATAATTAACACACTTTTAAATACAAGAAAATACATGGAATCTCGCCGACACATTCGTGGTGAGCAGACATGGCACATGTAAGTGAAACCAGATGAGGATGTATTGCAGTTTAGGTTTGGCCAGGACATCTTGCAGTGACAATAATACGTTATCTGGAAACTCAAGGCTATCTCCAATAATTCAAACCTATCTTTTTAGAAAGCCTTTTGCTTCTTGCTCCCACATCCATTTGTGAAGAAAAGTGAAGCTGCAAAATATATTCTCTGGAGTTAGAAATATTTCCAGTTCAATTATTTTGGCCTAAAACTTATGCGAAGATTAGATGACAAAGTTATGCCTCAAAAAGAAACAAATTTCACCGGCTAAATTATGGCTGGACATTCAATAAGTATTTCTAAGACTGCTCAAAGTCAGTGGAGGAATAAATTGGTACAAGGTAGGTAAAAAGTATATCAATTCTGGAACTGTTCTGACTTCTTCTCCAGGAAATTTATTTTACAAACCCTTGTCCTACAATAGCTGTTTCCCCATCTCCCTTGTCCGGTATATTTTTTGTAACCATCTGTCCCCACTAAGCTTCTCTCTCCTTAAGACCATTATTCCACCTTCTCAATCTCCTGACAGCCATTTCATTTCACTCTATATTTTATTGCCATCATGTTTAATTCCTTTTCGCTACTCCAACCTTATTTTCCTCTCCATCACAAATTTTGTGTTGTTTCTTATTTTTAAATTGTCACATTGTTATCTTAATTGCTGCATTACCTCCAATATATCTCATATGTTAGCACTTAAAGCAGTGACATCTCCACTTAGAGTCTGGTGGCTATGGGGTGCAGTGCAAGATATGTATGCTTACCTGAAGGTGTCTGTCCTGCTGCCATCTTCTTCGGTGTACCCTCGTCAGCTACTGGAGCTTCTTCTGCCAAGAACTACATCAGTGCTGCACTCTTGTGCATAGATGAGGGTACAACACTGACGTATGTGGAGAATCCTGTAAGAACGCGGGAGCCTCCATAGATCACATCTTGTGATAAGCGAGATGATGCCTAAATCCCACAGCTGTAACTTCAAGCAGCTGCTAGGATTGGACAAAAGTTGACAGTGGAGCTCCCTACTTTGTCTCACATTACCTTTCTATTGTGTTGAAATTGCAAGATTATTTCATAAAGATTATATCATTATGAAATATTAAGAAGTGACAAAGCCACTTTAATACATAAATGATATTAATAATAACGATTCTAATAATAATGCTGATAATCTGTGGTCGCTTTCCACAGGCATGAAATACTATGAGACAATAATAAATGTTTTTAAAAAGACTTACTCCCAAAAGTTCAGTCTGCCTCCATAGTAAGAATCATTCAAGATAGGTTCGATTCCACCTCGAACAACTACCGCTCGGATAATTACAGAAGAAAATCCAGCAACCATGATTCCAACTTGGAATACATCTGTCCATACCACTGCTTTCAGGCCACCCTAGCGATCAATAAATAAAACAGATAAATATCTAATTAACAGGATATGTGAACGTGGCTTGCCTAAAATTAGAAACATACAAAAAATGGTAATTTATGAAAAATGCAAACTAAGCAATTTTTGTAAAAAAAAAAAATCTTATTCGAATATTTAAGGCTAAAATATCCAATGTCTTGGTCAATTGACTGCAATTCCCAGGCTAGTAAATGACCTGTATAACGTGTGCACTGTCAAAACATGAAATTCACCAAAGATTTTCATAATTTGATAAACTAGTGAAAATGAACCTTTAGAAATTAGTAGTAATTGAGTCAGCTGTTGTGGCAGTAGAGCCTCTAGAGTAGATGATCTGGCAGAACCAATAGAGGTCCTCACACTTTCCTTCCTCATATGCACTCACTCTTCACTTAAGTATTCTGATGTCCTATTTCTAACAATCTACAAACCTGCTCTCCTCCAATCAGAAATAAATTCTTCTGTTTTCCATCAAAGTGTTTCATACTCCAATTCTATGAAACGTAGCAGGAAGCCACCGCTAATTTAAAGTGTCATATTAGCTAACATAAAAACAGTCACTTTCATGGTTTTGAAAATAACTTAATATTGCACATCCATAAACATATTAATAATATCAAACCATTTTAGGTAAGAAATTATAGAGTAAAAAAGAGTAAAAAAGCAATTATCTAAAAGAAACCAATGGTCGGATAATGAATCAACAATATTCCAGTAGTGTCATATGACTGAGAACATTTAATATTTGTAGAATATTTTTAGTACATGCTTGTGTAATGTATGTCCATACAACTCATGTCGACAAGAAGATTGGAAGTACCCACACAGCCCTCTTGATCATGTCATTTAGATCTTTAGATCTAGTACTGAATTAAAAAATACTTGACGTTAGTCCCTCTTTAAAACAAATGTGTAAATATATTAACAATCTTATTACATAAGCAAATAAAAACACAGACAGATTAATTGATTCATACATAGATAAGTGAGCACAACATTATGATAATCTTTAAAAAGAAGTTCTTACCATTGTGCAGTAGAAAGTGCACACCACTCCTGTTGCTACAACTGCACCCCATAAATCAAAGCCGGTGACTATAATAAATACAGAGATTAAATATATTTAATCCAAACAATTAAATTCACAGTAGGCTCTCTTCTATATGATGTTTAATCCCTAAGATTGTCTTTTGAGTTTTTAAAAAAAGAACAAAACAATATAAATATTTTATGTCCTCTAGGTACCCGTCTTTGGCATTGAGTCAGAGGGGGAACCAGTGCATCCTTTATGAAGTAGATAGCAGATTATTTGCTCTCTTATTGCTGAAACTAAGATTTCACCAGAGGCACTTGATGCTAAGGACATCAGAGGTTGGTCATGTCAGGTCACATGAAATGGCCTCACCCTGATGTGACATCTATCGAGTGTCTCCTGGTGGCTGCAAGACCATAACTTTGCTTACGATAATGTAGAATCTGTTCACAGACAAGTATAGAAATTCTTCGAACATACCAAGGATGGAGGACAGGAGAGCGAAGACAACAATTTGCTGAGACGGAAACAGGAAAATTGAAGCACATGTAATAGGGGAGAGGAAGAGAACTAAGAGTACTAGACAAAGAAATGGAGGGCAGAAAAAGAGTTGGAAGCAGACATAAAGTTGAAGGTGTGGACATCACCTAGGAGAGAAGAGAAATTAATGCAGCTGGCAAAAGGGAGGTCAAAAGAAAGACAATGGGAGGCAATATAAAGGTAGCAATAAATCTACTGAGAGGATAATGGAAATTGCAAAGAAAGTGGGAGAGATGACATGGGATGAATAGTGAAGAGCAACTGACAATCAAGTCGAATGATAGGGTGTTAGCATAAAAAAAGGGCACAGATTTGGAGAGTAGAACTGGCATGATATAAGAATTAGAAATAGCTAAAAGAAGTCTGGACTGCCATGCCTAGATCTGAGACAGCTAGGAGTGAGACAGTTAGATAGATAAGATAAATATAGACAGACAGACAGATAGATTACCTTGATTCAATGCCAGAGCGGGAGCATAAATAACTATTCCAGTATATAAAATCTAGAGAAGGAAAACAAACATTAGATGGAATAATCAGATTCGTGTATCATAGCTTCTTCGTCATTTTGATGAGCTTCCAGCCAGTTCCAACTATGAAAGTAAAGACAATATATGCAAGATAATATTTTGTTTATTTAAAGAAAACATACTTTTTTTATGTTCTGTGAATAGAATACATGAAACAGTTCAGTAATTAAAACTATAAATATTTGGAGTAAGTAGCACAAATACCACTAGATGGCAGTACAACTCTGAGGTAAATAGCTTGACTCAGGTGCAACAATACACATGCAAGATGAGTTTGAACACCACTCTGTTACACTGTATACTGCTGTATAGATAATGGCAGTACAAAATAAGAACAATGCCAGATTTACCCTTCCTGCTACCCGAGGGCAGTTTTCTCAATGCACATCCCATCATAAATGGATATATGCAGAAATTTAGTATTTTCAAGTATATTGGTGAATGCATCTCATTTGGGTTATGTAATTTTGGAGTATTTGATTGGATGTATGCATGCGCCTAGGGGTTAAATTGGGTCGTGAATGTGACTAGGTGGGTAGTTGGAGGATAAGTGGGACAAGGCTGGGAGAGGGTGAGTGTGTGTTGAGGCTGCTTGAATAGCAACATTTCCAGACAACATTTTGGTAGGTTCTCTTAGCAGTAAACTGTTACTTCATAGGTAGCTTATTTAATATGCTCCATCTTAGAATCTTCATGGACCAACTGCAGTTAAAAACTGGATTGACATATATAATGGGGGTCTCCACAGCAGTTTTAATTAACTTTATTACAATAAAGACCATCATGTTCCTTACAAATACTCATAAGTAGGGTGTGTGATTTGTTTGATAGGGTATTTTTTATAACTAATAAAAAGTATAACTAGTGTATATGGCAAAAAACAATATTTCTATCCGATCGCCGGCTCTGCTCTAGGCCTCCCCTCAACCAGCCCACAGCAGCATGGAGGGAGGCAGGAGAGGACTCAGGGAGCTCTTGCCGCGGCAACGCTCAGATCTTGCGAGAGTGAACTCTAACCCCGCAGGCTAGAGTTCACTCTCCACTGGACCACCAAGGAAGGAAGCAGGAACAAGGATCCCCCCTCCTTACATGAGGTAACAAGGGAGGGGGGGGGGATATTAACTGATCTGCCCCCACTTCCACTGGACCACCAGGGAAGACAGCAAGGAAGGACCCCCCCTCCCTACATAAGGTAAGAATGGAGGGGGGATATTTATGAACTAATCTGCCCCCACCTCCACCCCCACAAATCACCCAAACATACAGCACACAAACAGCACACACACATACAGCATACACACACACACACACACACACACACACACACACAGCACACACACACACACACAGCACACACACATACAGCACACACACACAGCACACACACACACAGCACACACACACACACAACACAGCACACACATCCAACACATACAGCACACACACAAACACACACACAGCACAGACACAGCACACACACACAGCACCTACACACAGACAGCACACACATACAGCACACACACACAGCACCCACATACACACACACACGCACACACACACACACACACACAGCACCAGCATGCACACACATACAGCACCCACACACATACAGCAAACAAACAGCACCCACACACACACAGCATCCTCACACATGCAGCACCCACACACATACAGCACACAAACAGCACACACAACACCCACACACACACAGCAAACAAACAGCACTCATACACAAAGCACCCACACACATACAGCACCCACACACATAGCACCCTCACAACACAAATACAGCACCCTCACACACAGCACACACAGCAACCTCACACACAGCACACAAACAGCACCCTCACACACACACAGCACACTAACAGTACCCTCACAAACACAAACAGCACCCTCACACACACACAGCACACAAATAGCACCCTCACACACACAGCACACTAACAGGACCCTAACAAACACACACACACACACACACACACAGCACACTACCAGTACCCTCACACACAAACAGCACCCTCACAAGCACACACACACACACACACACAAACAGCACCCTCACACACAGTACATTAACAGCACCCTCACAAGCGCACACACAAACACCCTCACCCACATAGCACACTACCAGCACCCTCACACACACATCACATTAACAGCACCCTCACACAGCACACACACAGCAGTGTATGTGTGTGTGTATATATGTGTATATATATATATATATATATATATACACACACATGTATATACATACATATATATACGCAGCGTGTGCTTGTGCTTTAGGGTGCACACCCTAATGCAACAGGCTGAGCACGCCTATGCCCTTATGCCTTGGGTACATCACAGGGATGCGTTCATGATGACCCAAGGGTATGTGCAAGCACCTTCAGTAATCTTGAGTGGGGCAGCCCCAGCCACCAAACAAAACATCCAGAATCTCTTACTAGACATACAGAATCTGCTGGCGGTGATTAAAGCTGATGTGCCACCGATTACAGACAGGGTGCGCACCTCGGAGGAGGACATTATTAACCTAGCACAGTATGGCTTCTGTGAGAGACTCTATTCAGAATATTCAGGCTACTCAACATACAGTTGTAATCAAAATTATTCAACCCACATTGAAAATCAGGTTTATTGGTAAAATGTACAGACTTTCAACTGTTTGCAATGAACAAATCAAACAAAAGCAATAGAATTAGCTAAACAAATACTTTAAGTGGTTTCCCCAAATTCGACTGAAAATGTAATTTATAATGACTTCTCCAGTCTCAAAATTATTCAACCCCCTGAAAAGAATCCCTCAATACAGAACAAATATGCAAAACAGGTGCTCTCTCAAGCACACCTGATGTAACTAATTAAGGGCTTCATTAGTTGCACCAGATTTGTTGGGCTTAAACACCTAAATTACCTAAACTGGCTAGGGGTTTGTTGAATGATGTTTTATGCATATTAGAAATATAGCTATGGTTTACAAAGTTAAGAGAAGAGAACATTACCCTTCACAAACAAGGACCATGATTTAAAAAGATAGCAAAGGCACTGAGTGTTCCTAAGGACACAGTTGGAAGCATAGTTTGCAAGTTCAAAGTTGAAGGAACAGTGGTTACACTACCCCGGCGTGGCTGAAAAAGGAAGCAATCTTGACTGCAAATAGATTTCTGAGAAGGCAGGTTGTGAAAACAGTAAGATGCATACTAAACGCAGAAGGCTTCCATGCCAGAACTCCAAAATATACACCAATACTGACCCAAAAGCACAAGAAAAGTCAGCAACACTATGCTCAAAATTATATAAATAGGCCACAGAAGTTTTGGGATTCTGTTCTGTGAAACGATGAAAAAAAAACCTGGAACTTTTCTGCCCAATAGATCAGTGGTATGTCTAGAGGAAGAAGAATGAAGCATACGCTGAAAAGAACACTCTGCCTACAGTTAAGCGTGGTGGTGGCTCGGTGATGCTCTGGGGCTACTTTGCTACCTCTGACACTGGAAACCTGTAGTGTGTGGAAGGCAAGATGGAATCATTAAAACATCAGGCAATCCTAGGAATAAACGTCATGCTGTCTGTGAGGAAGCTAGAGTTTGGGCATCATTGGACCTTCCAACAAGACAATGATCCCAAGCATACCTTTAATTCTTCAAAATTCTGCAGTGGCCATCACAGTCACCTGCCTTGATTCCCATAGAAAATCTCTGGTGGGATTTGAACAAGGCGGTTGCAGCACACAAATCTAAGAATATTACTGAAATGGCGACCAGTGCTCATGGGCAATGGGCTAAGATTACTCAAGAACGCTTCAAGCCCATGGTGTCTGGCTATGCATCTCGCTTGCAGCAGTTTATAACAGCAAAAGGGTGCTCTACTAAGTACTAAAGATGCTTGTCATGAAGGGGCTGAATCATTCCTTGTGTTGAGCTATTTTATTTGCTTTTGTTTGAGTTTTCATTGCAGCTGAAAGTCTGTAAATGTTGACAATAAACCTGAGTGTTGAATAATTAACGGCTTCAGACGATAGGTCTAGCCAGAATAACCATGAAATCAGAGGCATTGCGGACAACATCAGTGTAAATGAGCTCCCACAATACATAAGACACCTTATGGCATCCATATTACCTCCTTAGCTTGGCTAAGATGTTTACCATTGACAGGATATACCATTTGCCTAAGTCACCCAGAGCACCACCATCCACAGTAAGAGATGTTATCATCTGCTGTTCATCTTGACATCACAAGAGACACATCATGTCAACATTGCAGGGCAAGACACCTCACTCTTTTGAGGAATTCAACTTTACTTTTTATCAAGATCTAACAAGGTGCACTCTACAGTGACAAAGGTCTCTTAACTTTGTAACACGCCAACTGCAGTCAGCTGGATGGATGCCACCAATATTCTTATCAGTTACTCATAACAGAACTGCATATCTTCAAACGCAGAGGCAACTGCCTTCCTTAGGGCTTTGGGACTGCCTGTACCTGCTAAGGATTCAGAAAGACAACCCGACACCCATGTCTGGGACCCGACCAACATATCCCCCTTTGTCCCTAGAGGAAATACGATGATAATTCGGAACCTGAGTAGGATTGTGGATTCTATGGATACAGGCATTTTTTGTCCACATGTTCAGTTTCATTGCAGTTTTCTGTTTCTACCATTTTTCATATATTCAACACATGTATCTCTTCTCATTGCATAAAGTTCTCATAACCAATTACATATTTCACTGTCTGAGACGCATTTAAAGTCTCACGCCTGCCCACCACTATGTAGCCCTCTTGGTTAGGGGTATCAAACGCAGAGAGCTTATTAATTACCCGATTAAATCTGTTATATTTTTTTCTTTGTGATATTATTGCTCTTTATTTTTCATTAATATAGTACTCTGTCTATAATTTAAAAAAAAAATCTATCCCAGTGATATCCAGGCTCCTGGCCTTAATCGGCTTCTCACTCTTTAAAGGAAAATGTAAAAAATTGGTGTAACACTCAAAGCATTTATTATACCTGTAACATGCTGTGTCTCACTCACTGTGTATATTTGCCAATGTTTTTCTTTTTGCATGGACATGCATTAAAAAAACCCACCAAAGCCCCCCCAAAAATCAACTATTACTGTACTTGGAGAATGCTCACAGTATTGATTTGTGGTTTTTTTTTTTTTTATAATTCTTTATTTTATTCGTACACAGCTTAGACATGTAGGAATGCACTGCCACATCAGCAGGTTCCTTTACGGCATTAAACATTGTATGGTAGTTGTGTGGCATGAAAAACAATGTACAATTTTTAGTTATGTAGAAAGACATGGTGTAGCATTAATCATTTTATAGTAGTTGTGCGGCATGAAAAACAGTGTATTTTTGGTTATTTAGAGAGACCTGGTCATATACACCGCCTATGTGTCTCAGTTTAAAATAGTGGTCGATCTCTGCAGCCTCTGCTGTTTATTCGCTATTTGGTCACGTCTAGACCTGGTTTTGGGTCGCTTGTCTTTGCTGTACTAACTTGGCATTAAAATGGTCATGCTATTTCTAGTAACTGGGTGTGAAACCACAGGGAACACGCAGTAACAACGAGTTTAAACAAGTAGGAATAAAGAGACTATTGTGTCGAGTAACTGAGAAAATAATAGAGCATACCTGAACCGCTGCTGAGCCTAACAAGTATCTGTCTATTGGTCTTTGTTTCTCTTGAGTCAGCCTATGTTGAGTGAACTGGTGTCCTGCACTAAAGCCTAGTGTGTGAGGTGTAAAAAAAAAAAAAAAGTATGGCAACTTATTTGTAAGCTGTAGAGGTGTCAACTGTTAGTCCAGATTAAGTGATATACACAACAGCATCTCCTTATAGTATTCATGAGCAAGGTGCCCTGGTTTACCAGGCTTGCATATCAGCAGCCAGAGTCCTGTTCCTACAGTTCAGAGCAGGGCCTGTCGGCTGTGAAGCAATGCGGTGGGCGCCTTAGCCTATGCCTCTTACTGTAATGACTCGAGTCCCGTTGGCATAGATCTTGTCGGTGGGGCCTCTTGGCTTGAATCCAGCTTCCGTACTTGTGCGGCAAGCTTCCTTCTGGTCCGCATTGCGGTGATCCGCCATACCCTCGGGGCGTAGATTTGTTCCCTTCTGGTCCGGATCTCTGCGTTTAAGCAAGCGGTTTGGTTGTGGGGGATATTCGTTGGCCCGGTTGCAGCTTGTGCAGGGGCGAGTATATGCGCTTGGGTGGTATGATGTCGCTTTCCCGCGTGGTGGGTTTTGGCCCCGGCCCGGCCGCGTGGTCACCGTGAAGGCCTGGAGTGGATACCTGTAATGGCGCCGGCGAGTTGTCGGGCGGACCCATGAGGCGACCATTCTGGCTGCTTGGCGGTGCGGCATGCCGCGGTGGCGAAGTATGGACCAGAAGGTCAAGCAGAGTGAATCAAAGGTATCCATGGGGTGAGTGAATGGATGAGGGTTTGTGCCCGTTGTCCCTGGCCCCTGCTGGGCGGCCATCTTTGGTGTGCCTCGGATTGTCAGTGGCCCTGCAGGCAGTGCGGCTGGGGAACTCATCTGCAGTTTCAGTTTGCGTGTCCTGTGGGGACCGGGATAACCCCCACCGGCCCAGAGGGGGGGGATTGGAGACCAGCTATGTCACCTAGCGGGTCCAGTGTCGGAGAGAGCGGCTTCCCCTTCACGCCTCCAGCTCCCGCAGGCCGTGTTTAGTGGTCCGCTTTTCTGGCTTCGACGGGCGTCTATGAGGTATTGCTAGGTTCAGGAGAGCACCCCCGAGGTGGGTGATGCACCCTGGTAGGTCCTTGGGCTGTTTAGCCGTCGATTGTGCCCTGATTTTAGCCCGTTTAGCAGGAGCTCGAGTTCCACACGTCTGCTCTGTTAATCGGTCAGGCTCGATTTGTGGTTTTTAATTCACAACAGTTTTATTTTATTTCCAATAATGTCTACAGGCATTCCCTTCTGTGTTTCACCAGTGTCATTCCGTAGAATACAGTAAGATTCTGACTTAATCTTACTCTCCGAACCTGTTACTGTATTTAGGGAACACACATTGTAACTATTTCTGATTTATTATGTTTTTCTTTTTAATTATGGCAAATTAAATTTTTTTTTTTCTGTCATTCATTGTTGTCATGCTGCAAAGCGCAGCTATAATTTTTTTTAATCTGATGCTCAGGAGCTGTCTCTGTGCTTGGGGAGTATCTGCAGTAAAAATTGCAAGGTTTATGGGTTTATTCCCTTTACTTGTAATGTCTATGGCAATCCCTTTATGTTAATCACGCTTCTGATTCAATAGAATACAGCAATCAGCTCACTTATTTTCATCCTATGTTTATTTGCTACATACACATCCTATGTTGCAAATTGATGTTATGCTATTTTTTTAAATTTTATTTTTTAAATCAGTTGGTAGTAATGGGATTAATTACAACAATATATAAAGTCTAGAATAATATTGAATGGGAATAGACAGATTATGAATTGATGAATACTTCCATACTTCCACATACCATCTGTATGATGAAAAGGATTGTTCCAAATAGACGTACAAATTTATTGAACCGCAGCTCCAGGTACTAAAAGTGAAAGAAAGATCTGGTTATTTATCTTAATAACCTTACGTTTCCACCCTACATTCAGTAAAGATGTAATAATATAATGGTCTACTAGTAGGAAGAAAATAACCTACAGACATTATTCACTAAATCAGAAATCGTGGATATTGATCAAGGGAATTGCAAATGTTAGGTCAAAATAATAATTCTTTAACAGGGATGTTTTTGGATTAATATTTGCAAAAAAACTTAAAAATTACAACAGATGCACATATTTGTAAATCCCTTGTGATTCCATGTTTAGTGAACAAATCCTTATGTTTTTCCAAGAGTTTCTAGTTGATACATTATAATTTCTTCAAAAGCATTCAGACTTTATACAATGACATGCAGACATCGTCAGCACAGTTGGGGAAAAGTCACGAAAAAGTTAACTGAAAACTGAATTAGCAAAAATTAAAGCAATGCATGTATAAAGAAATGTAACCGAGTTAATGATTGTCCCCAACTTAACTGAGATTTTTCAAATTCACTAACATTCAAATCTTAGTGAGGTAAACCAAACTTATTTGTGCTTTAAAGGGACTCTTCAGTCACCAAACTATTTTAACTTAATGAAGCAGTTTTGGTGTATAGGTCATATCCCTGCAGTTTCACTGACCAATTCTCTGCCATTTAGGAGTTAATGAACATTGTTTATGCTGCCCTAGTCACACCTCCATGCATGTTATTACACAGCCTTCCTAAACACTTCCTGTAAAGTTAGATCTAATGCTTACACTTCCTTTATTGCAAATTCAGTTTAATTTAGAATTATTTATCTACTGTTTTGTTGATAGCTTGCTAGACCCTGCAACAACCTCCTGTGTGTAATTAAAGCAAAATTTATGGAGCAAGAGATAAACACGTTTAAAGCAAGTTAACATCTGAGTTAACATCTTGGGCTGCATAAACAGAATCAAAAGTGATTTAACTCCTAAATGGCAGTGAATTGAGCAGTGAGATTTCAGATGCATGATCTATACACAAAAACAGCTTTATTAAACTAAAGTTTTGGTGACTATAGTGTCCCTTTAATTGCAACTGCAACCCTATAGATGTTAACCTATAACAATGTGTATTGAGCTCATGAGATCTGCAATATTAATATGAATAAAACATATTCCTAGTCCACATTTATTTCAGAAATGTGTCTTAGAGCTCTACAAACCATATATTGGATTCAAGCTGATGTGGGTTTATTTTAGGCTGACGTCATTTATATTTTTAAGATAATAACCCAATGTAATTTAAAACTGAAGCAGACAATAAATCAATGTTATACTTAAGTAGCTGCTTAGAGATAAAATAATATAGTGTAACAAGTGTTAATTGTCAAGGTGAGAAATTAATCACTACACCTTAGTCGTGGATACGTTTAATTGGACTATGATTAAACTTATCCCTGGCCAAAAAGCAATGCTTCTGTATTAATAAATAACCAGGCTGTGCAAGACATTAACAAAGATCTAATCCAAAATGCAAAATGCAACATTCTACAAGCTGTTCTAATTCCAGAATCCCCTGTACATTCTACAAGCTGTTCTGATTCCAGAATCCTCTGTACATTCTACAAGCTGTTCTAATTCCAGAATCCTCTGTACATTCTACAAGCTGTTCTAATTCCAGAATCCTCTGTACATTCTACAAGCTGTTCTAATTCCAGAATCCCCTGAACATTCTTCAAGCTGTTCTGATTCTAGAATCCCCTGAACATTCTACAAGCTGTTCTAATTCCAGAATCCTCTGTACATTCTACAAGCTGTTCTGATTCTAGAATCCCCTGAACATTCTACAAGCTGTTCTAATTCCAGAATCCCCTGTACATTCTACAAGCTGTTCTGATTCTAGAATCCCCTGAACATTCTACAAGCTGTTCTGATTCCAGAATCACCTGAACATTCTACAAGCTGTTCTGATTCTAGTATCCCCTGTACATTCTACAAGCTGTTCTAATTCCAGAATCCTCTGTACAGTCTACAAGCTGTTCTGATTCCAGAATCACCTGAACATTCTACAAGCTATTCTGATTCCAGAATCCCCTGAACATTCTACAAGCTACTCTGATTCCATAATAACCTGAACATTCTACAGATTGTCCTCATCCCACAATCTCCTGAGCATTCTACAAGCTTTTTTCAATTCCAGAATATCCTGATAATTTTCACCTGCAGGATGGAATGAAGGTAAATGCCCCATATATCAGAAGAATAAAGCCCTGACTATGGCTGTGAAGACAACTGCTCAAGTTACTGTACCTCATAAGTACTGGTGATCCCCAACCTGTAGAAGACTGGTACATAAATCTCTGAACTGAGGAGCACAGTGATACCGTAAGAGATGGCAAAAATGCTGAACATGGCTCCAAATCTGTACACCTCCGCCGGTGTACCCAGCACTGTAACAGCAGACATGAAGCTGGCAGTCAGAGACAACGCCACCGGTAAACCAGTCATGCTTCTTCCGCCCATCAGAAAGTCCTTGGAGGTCTTCTGTCCGCCCCCCGCAAAAGCATAATAGACCCCAATGGCAGCAGAGATGACTAGCATTAGAGCGAAAACCAGGTAGTCCCAAACGGTGAAGGAGCCAATGTCTCCTGGGGTGCCCATGGTGGGGGGTCGGGGGAGCACTGAGTCAGGTATGGACTGGAGATCTTCAGGAACAGCCACAGGATGAGTGGAGTTGAGAAGGTGCAGGCTTAGGGGTGGCTTGTGGCTCAGGGTGTTCACAGTAAGTTGCCCTTATGGTGGTTCTTAAACACCTGCCTGGCCAGGTACAATGCACTATAACAGTATCAGGGTGGCCCCCACAGGGACAATGCAGAGTTAGTGCTAAAGTGAGATAGTGCTGGCTGGTGTGGGGTATCAGGTTGAGAAGGACACAGGAGAGATGTGCTGGTACATGCTGGAATTAGAGAGCAGAAGCTCTAAATGATGAGAAGCAATATGTGAGTTGGGCTGGTGATGGAGTAGAATAGTGGAGGCTAACCCCTGTCCCCAAGCAGTGGAAAGCAGTGACAGCTGGGGGTGGATTGTGGAGAGTGATGGGGTAAGGGGGGGGTGCTCAGGAAAGAGAGACTGAGCTGAGATCAGCTCTTATTAAATACTAAGGGTGACAGGGGAGGGCTTAACTCAGCAGGTGAAACTTAATATCTTCTCCTCTCCTCCAATGAAAGAGAGAGCTGTTTCCTTATCCATCCCCAGGAGAGAGAAAAAACAAAAAAACCTCCATGTGTTTAAATGCTCAGTACCTTATCATGCAGGTATTTATAGCTAAACCTGAGTTTAATAGTAAACTGCCCTTTTCTGGGACGATTTAAACCTACTGTGATTTTTACAACCTTTACAGGGAAACGAACAGCAATAGGAACTTTAATGAGAACAATACAATGATATGACTAAGGCACATTAGTAAATACATATCATGTGCTTTCAGTAAACAAAACATATCCCTTACTGTAAGAGAGATTGGTTACCACAAATAACCCTACATTAAATCAAATATTATTTTTATATTGTGATCAAGTAGATAAAACTTTACTAATACTGCAGTTGTCTATTACACCAAGATATTACATTTATATTTATTTCTCTTGAATTATGACTCATATATAGCAATACGAAGGTTTATGACATTGCCTTCGGAATGCACAGTACACAATATGAAATAGAAAGGGTCACTTGGTTCATTTTAGCACAACCAAAAATGGCTAGCAAAAGTTTTTTGGTTGGGCTAAAAGAATTATTATGCTGTGCTAATTTTTCGGTTTCGGTATGTAGTTCGTTTTTTTTAATTCGTTTTATTTCTTTTTATACTCACTAACATCGAAGCTTGGGCAAAGTATGTAAATTAATTACCAGTTGCAGTGGCGTATGCGTGGGGACAATTCTGAGTGAGCTGAAATAGCGTTCTGGAAGTGACCGTCTCTTTAGCATCCACCCAGAGAAAATTACTATCCGAACGTTAATTAAAAATTATAGTTAGTGAGAACCAGGTGGTTATAGAGAAAGTTATTCAAACTGTAACAAACTAACTCAAACTCATGGAAAAGTTCCAAAAGGGACCTAAACAAGGGAGTAGTCAAACTATTATAAAATAGTTTGACTACTTACACTGGGGGGGAGGGGGCAGGGCACATATGATACCATAACCACTACAGGACTCTGTAGTGTTTATCGTGCTTGGAGTGTTTAAATTATATATATTTCTAACCAAGGATAATCTGACAAAGCTAATGGAGCATCAATCAGACGCAGGGATAGGCAACCTTCGGCACTCCAGATGTTGTGGTCTACATCCCCCATAATGCTCTTACACCCATAATGCTGGCAATGCATCATGGGAGGTGTAGTCCAAAACATCTGGAGTGCCGAAGGTCAGAGCATTGTTAAACATTTTAATGATTTATCATATAAATAAATTCTGCATATGCTACAGTAGGATTGTCAACCAGCCTAAATTACTATATGGTGAGTTATAAAGAGCAGCAATCTGTTTGCACATCTGATTTAAAAGGATATTTGTTACTTGAGTGTCGGGAGTTATGTATTAACACAGTTAAGTGAGCAGCAGACCATGAATGAGTGTGTTTCTATCATTACCTCACCTACTAGGACTGATGAGCCAAAAGCAGTTGCATCTGCCAGGGTTATTTACCAAAGTGTCAGTAATTCAAAGTGAATTTCAAAATGTAGGCCATAACTGCTGATACCTCTGTAAACTATTCCCGCTGTACCCTCCTACCAATAAATTACACAACACCATATTAGTGTCACAGTTCGCACCATGACATCCAGACGTGGTCACCCCAAAAGTGCCAAACAGGGGGATTTAAACTGTGGTCCATCTCTGCCTTAGTCCTGCTGTCTTGCCTCTGGACCATGCCCCTAGACCACACTTCAGTTCTTGTTTCTTCCTATTGTCTATCATTGCTTTGTCTCCAGCGCTGGGGGCTGGACTTTACCTGTGGTTGCACCTGTCAATCTCAGCCCACCTGAAGATAATGCCCAATTAGCCTGGTATAAGACACTGCCTATCCCTGAGGGCAGTGTCAGTTCATTGACTCTGTTTCTGCTGTTTGGTTCCTGTTGTTTCGTGTCTTGATCCAGTGTTCTTCAGACTGATTCCGGCTTTCGATCTTGGCATGTTTCTTCAATTTCTCTGACTTCGGCTTTCAACGACTATTCTTCTGCTTGTCCTTGCCTGTACTGCGACTTGGAGTATATCCCTGCACAGCCCCCGTGCACAGACTCACAGGCCAGGTGGCATCTTGCCTGGTCACCTTGGTCTGTGTTTATCTGCAAGGGTGGGCGTATATCTCTGCATACTCCACATCAGGTAAGACCCTGACAATTAGTGGGTAAGGGCAACGGCCATAGCTTTATTTTCCAACAACCAGAAAACAACCACTGTCCGCTGCTGGTTTGACCAGCAGACAGATAACATAACTTTATAACCAGAGCCTCTTTAGCCTGTCATCCGTGATCCACCAAATCAGGCTGCGACTCCCCAAACCTGTCCGGCAGTGTCCTTTCATAACTTGCTGGCGCAGGAAAACCCGGCAGCTGTAACAAAAGAAGAAAACAAAAACAAACACACAAACAAACAATCCCAAAATTACATCCTACCATCCCACCTAAAGGGGGGAATGGGCGGGGAAAAAGCACCACCAGGATTCCTCGGTTGTGCTACAGTGAACTGGTGAGTTCGCCCAGAATTCCCATCACCTAGTTCCTGTCAATACATTGTAGCAATTCTGTTACCATGGCAACTATTCCGGCCAGCAGTCATGTTCCCTCCTCCTTAGGCAGTCCGGGGGTTAGCCTTTATATCCAAATTGAAACCATGGCTGACTTGGAGAGTGTTTCCAATTCAGATTTTTTTTTAGCCTAAATTTTGAAATTCACTTTGAATTCAAACAATTCACATTAAATAACCCTATGTGTAGCTTCATGTAGAAGTAGGTAAGACTTTGAAATTCAAAGTTTAAATTCTTATTTAATACAGGGATTAAAATTGATTCCTTATGTTACTAGTCAGGCCTTAAAATGTATTCACCACTGTCATTGTACACCCTCCAGAGGTGAATTTCTACTCACCAGTCACCAGGGCTAAATTTTGACTCTACTTGTTACACCAATATCAGAAATGAATTGCAAACAAAACATGTTCTCGTGTTCTTTTCTTCAAACAAAGGACTTTTTGATGTTTAGGGACCTTTCGAGGCGCCTAGACCACTTCTTCTCAATGAGATGAATCATCTCAGTGAAGTGATCTAGGTGGCCCCTTAGTTTACGTCTGCAATTTAAAGCATTGTTATTTAGTAAATCCAACAATGTTTACATTGAAGGGTTAAATACGCCTCCAGTGACTGACTTCCTGACAGCCACTAGAGGCACTTCCACTGTGAGAACTACTAAAACTCGGTTCTCACAGTCAAACTCGGTTCTCACAGTCAAACCCAGTTCTCAAAGATAGCCTCCATTTCACTGGATAAATGCAATGCTGACATACATTGGGTTGAACGAAAAAGAGGAGTCGGCGTGAAATCATGGGGGCGGCTTAAATGATTGCAGGGACTGGATCTTAACAGTGGGAAAAAAAGGTGAATAAAACCTTTTTTTCCCCCCATTTTTTTATTTAGTTTTCTAGGCCTTTATTAAAGGCAGAGGAGAACACTGTAGTATTGTGAATACAAAATATTACGTGTTTGCTACAAAATTAATCCACAATGCCTTTTTCATGTACAGAAACCAAAAAGGTATTTATTCTTCTGTACATACATTGTATATCCTGCCTGAAATATTGCAAGATAAGAGATACTATTTAGTCTCCAAATATTTATTATCACAATATTTCCTGTAAAGAAAGAATGAATAAATAAAAATTACATTTGTATATATTTGTGTTGTGTTTTTTTTTTTTTTAAAGCTAATTACTGTTAACTCTGCACAGCAATCTATAAAAAAATGTATTTTTGGTTTCATGATATTTCCTACTTAGAACGTAGAAGACATTTAAGTGTACCAGCAGAAGATTAATATTAACAACAGATGTATATCCCCTTCTAACACTCAAAAGAGAAGATATGGTCTTCAAGCTGTGCTGTGCTATCATCTTAAACTGTAACTTTGGAATGCAAAACTTGATTATTATTTTTTTTACATTAAAATATCCCATTTCAAAGATTGGTAAGAAAGGTAGAACAATTTAGCAATAACTATAATAACTGTTAGAAAGGGGTGGCACTATGCCCATTGACCTGTTTCGTCATGGTTGTACTGAAAAGGACCAACCCGACAACAGACGCTGCATTGTTCTGTGATGATTGGAGGTAAATTCCTTACCATGCCAAAGCATTTCCAGAAAAAAGATGCAGGATATGTAGCCTCATTGTGAACAATTAGTGTATATTAGTGAGATTATTTGTAAGTTTTAAAAAGTTATGCATCTCTCTTTTCTCTTGAACTGACCCCATGGGAGGAAGTTGCAATTTCTAGGTGAAATAGAGCCTGATTTTATGTTAAAGGCTAGAAGACTTACTGACATGCCCCATCTGTACATTATCACAACCATTGTCTTCATATGTGGTACAGGACCATAACTACACCCGAATGCATGGCCCACCTACCTTCTTTTTCCATTTCATTATATCCCTAATGCACGTTTTGTCTTACTTTGGGTTGTCTCATTATTCTCTCAGATATCCCACAAATCAACACTTTAGGCACCATAACCACTACAGCACACTGCACTTCACCGCTGCACTTAATTCACTGAAGAGAGATTCCTGCTGCATAAAGGCAGGGAACGGAATCTATGGCACATGTGCAACAATCACAGTGCTTCGCCTATTAAATGCTTTGCTTAGAAAAGCATTGGTTGAGATACTTCTTCATGAGAAGCACTGCCATTGCCTTTGGGTGAACATTCAAAGCGAATGCGGCAGGAAACACTCCTTGCTGTCTGATTTACAGCAAAGAAGATTTAAAGGAACACTATAGTCACCTAAATTACTTTAGCTAAATAAAGCAGTTTTAGTGTATAGATCATTCCCGTGCAGTTTCACTGCTCAATTCTCTGTCATTTAGGAGTTAAATCACTTTTTTTCTGTTTATGCAGCCCTAGCCACACCTCCCCTGGCTATGATTGACAAAGACTGCATAAAAAAACTGGTTTCACTTTCAAACAGATGTAATTTACCTTAAATAATTGTATCTCAATCTCTAAATTGAACTTTATTCACATACAGGAGGCTCTTGCAGGGTCTAGCAAACTATTAACATAGCAGGGGATACGAAAATCTTAATTAAACAGAACTTGCAATAAATAAAGCCTAAATAGGGCTCTCTTTACAGGAAGTGTTTATGGAAGGCTGTGCAAGTCACATGCAGGGAGGTGTGACAAGGGTTCATAAACAACAACAGTGAGGCTGCAGGGGCATGTTCTATACACCAAAACTGCTTCATTAAGCTAAAGTTGTTCAGGTGACTATAGTGTCCCTTTAATTAAGGACTTTACTGCAAGTACCTGTTACTTCTGAAATTGTAAATTCAACAAGTAGGATCGGGGCTTTTTTATACTATATGTTAAAGACCTTTAAAAGTTTTATATTCTTACTGTGTGTTTTCTCACTTATAATTATAATCACATTAGCTTCACTCACACAAATTAGATAAAGGTTTTTAATTAATTATATATTATATATACATTGTGTAAACAAAACAGAGTGCTCTTTAATGTGTGATCTCCTACTTTGCTCCTGAATCATATCATGACAAACTGTCACAATATCTTCTTATTCATGGATCTCTTCCTTTTCCAATAAATACAAAATGTATTAAATAAAAAATTCTGACTAATCACAGTCCTAACCTGATTACACACGCCATGGGGAGCCCAGTGATGATAAAACTGCATCATGTGATTGCTACATTAGTGGTTGTATCTCCCTCTCTGCTATCTTGAATGGTTGTACTAATATGATGCAAAGTCCTCTGCAAGCCAAATCACACACTATCACCACTGCAGAGGGCTCAATGCTCTCCTAGGCATTCATCCCTCTGCTTCTCACTGGGGAAAAACCCTGTGATGTCAGTGATGGGTTGCAGATGAATTATGGTTTGATTTCTTAACTGGGGTCGGCTGGGCATCACTCCCCGCCTCCACTATCGACTCTGGAATGCTGGAGGTTCCTAAGCCAAAATTTCCATTAGGTCTCCTGAGTCATGCAATGCAGGGCTCAGCTGGGGAGTTCTAACAGGGGTCCCTGCGTAGCTACATAGAGCTCTCTGGTGATGAAAGTGGAAGCTCTTAGCAGCGCCCAACTGACCCCAAATAATAAGTTAAACCTTACAAAAATACTTTGACTCGTTACAAGGGCAAGCTGTAGTGGTTATGGTGTTTGGGATGCTTCTTTAAAGCCTGCAATCATTTTGCACAGTCAAATCTCCCTATACCCAATGCACATTACCTCTAATTTTATGGCCACATTTTCAAAAAAGTGCTACCAATTGCAGAGATTACATTTTCAAAAAAGTGCTACCAAGTGCAGAGATTAAAGAAAAAGAAAAAGCTCGACGCGCATTTCAGCGTGTTCAAAACACAGTCGTCAGGTTTCTGACGACAGCGTTTTGAACACGCTGAAATGCGTGTTGAGCGTTTTCTTTTTCTTTAATCTCTTTACTTGGTAGCACTTTTTTCTTTTTGTTACCACTATGGTTATTGATTTTTAGGTCGGACACTAGGGGAACTGGAACTTAGATGATAGCTAGTACTCCAGACAATTGATCCCCTGGGCACTGTTTAGTAGATCTCACTTTTTTCAAGTTATACTTTTTGTTTGCATATTCCTTTTTATCCTTAGATTGATACCCTTCCTCATTTCTTATACAGTGGAGCTCTCCTGATGTTGGTTTCCCCTTGTGGGACCCTACACATCACCTACTCCTATTACCTGCATATTTTGGAGGGTTACCCCCTCATTGGAGCTCCCTATTAGGTGGTTACAGTGGTGCAGCTCATGAGCCCTTGACTTGTATCCGGACTCCTGACCTGCACTCTGTTTACTTTATTTCTCCAAGGAATAAACTCATAAGTGGTGACACCCACTGCAACTTTACATCAAAGGTATAGAGCGCAAATAACAAGTACATAACTCTGAGTTATGAGTCTTTCAATGTTGTCAAGTGCTCCAAACAGAGAAGGCACTGGATTCGTTTTGGCTCGGCCTGACTTGATCACGAGTGAATATGCAGAATGGGTATCCAATGCTGGAAATAGTCTGCATCGCTTGCAAACCTCAGTGAAAGTCCAGAAAACAAAGTACAGTGTCCTCCGGATGTCATTTGAGAGTGCAACTCTTTGTACAAAACAGTTTCCAGTGCAGCTAATGGAAATTCCTTCTAAGGAACTTTTGTCTCTTTGTCATTAGTAGTAGAGGTCGGGAGCACCGCCTTGGGGACACCAGATAAGATGTCAAACCATTCAAAAATGCTTTGACTCCTTACACTGCAAGGGTCCTTGGGAACTCATGGCACCATAATCATTACATAAAGGCTTAGTGTTTATGTTGCTTCAGTGTTCCTCGAAGCAGTCTAAACATTCTGTGACATCTATTTCGCACAGTGGTGCTTAAGTTAATCATCAGTAGTTTATGGGAAGTGGATAATTAAGAGCAGCGTAACAGGTGTAAATGATACAGGTAATTTAACTTTAAGTAGTCAAGGTGTAAAGGGAATCAGGTAAGTATGAAAAGACTTGATGGGTTTCATTAACAGGGAAAAGGGTGATAGCTTAACATTATTGTACATCAATTTACTTTGTTTTTCTCAAATGTTTCAGCCTACATATAAAATGCAAAATGGCTGGTGGCTTGCAATCACAATGTTATCAAAACTTGGACTGGTCCAGAGGAATATTTCCCAGTGAACTATAGAATCTGGGGTTGACCAAGCTGCCAGACTGAGGTTGTGGCGGAACCAGCCTCACCATTGGGCATTGGAGAAGACTGATTGCCAGCCTCCTTCCATGTGACTATGGCCCCTGGGATGTAATGCCCGCTCTCCTGTACTGCTGAGGATTGCTACCAACTAGGTGGATTTGGCTATGGAGCTTATGTAGTGCACTCTGTTGGTAGGAAAAGTAATATGCACTACCTGAATAGCAAGACTGGTAATTTGCATATTCAGGTAGATTTGCATATTGCTAATTCTGCAGGCACGTGAGATATTTTCTGTTAATTATTGTCTCCCCCACCTCTTTAAAAATATGCCATTGTGTTATAATAAGTCACTGTATGTTGCCTGCTATGATTTGACTGTTTGTAATTTTATTGAGTTTTCACAGCAATGTTAATGTAATGACCATATGGGCTAGTCCTAAGTAAAATAAAGTTCTACTTCACTCTCAATTTGGAGTCCTGTCTCTTATTGGGGGAATCTGCCACAAGGAACTGCTATGCGCTGCATATTCCCTTGCTTTAATCACTCCTAAGAGCTAGTTTCTGCTTTGCTTTGAATGAAGAGAGGTTTGGCCTGCGGTGGTTGTGGTGT